GTTCCAGGTAGAAGTTGAAACACCTAACAATATTAGAAGATCCTATAATGCAAACAATTAAACTCCATATACATTTCCTTCACAATATTATTGCTTGTTTTGCGTCTAAGAAGCTGGGCAAACATTTAGAAGACATTTAGGTTTCAATATGTTCATGCAATTTAAATGGGACCTCTGCACAATAAAGAAGAGGAAAAACAAGTCTTTTTTCTTTCAATATTACATGATGCAACTATAAAAATTGGGAGTTTCTTTTTTCAAAATAAGCCAAATGCATAAGCCGAAACTAAGCCTAGTTCGACTGAAATTCAGAGTATATCTGTGGTTTCATCCTTTCTAAAGGGTATTATTCTGAAATCGGTCATATTCTGCGAGCAAATGTAATCTAAAGGCGGCCGCGGTGCACAGCTCAAAACTAGTCCGAGAACCACAGATTTTTGCTTATGTCAGTTTCACTTCAAATAAATTTGGCTCATTTCGAAAAAAAAAAATCTCCTGAAATAATTGAAAGCTAGATAATAGGAATTTAGTTGGTATAAGGAGAATGAGAAGGACAACCTGCTCACAAGTGTCAAATACAGTTGGCAGCGGTCTGTGTTGTGCAACCCATTGATTATTGCACCGCCATCTTCAGTATCCACATAAAATAAACTGCCTTCAACACATCAAGTGAGAAATATTTAACAATATGTTGTTAACAGCTTTACATCTGTGGCATTTATTGCGAGATTTAAATTATTTTGCTCAAAAATGGGTCGGTTTGTAAGCCTAGATCAACGATGAGGGAGGGGGAAAGGACCAAGGCTCTGCTGTGTGGTTATTTTGACCGCAAAGAACCATCCACTTTGCGCATACTCAATCTCTGACAGGATATAATTTCTCGGGTTCAGTGTATGATATATATTGCAAATGACTTTCAGCACATGTATATTTCAACTACTGAACAATGACTATGAGATGTGGGTAGGCAGCGGATGCACAGTTTGTCATAATTTGCAAGTGTGAGGCTGCACACGCCTTTGATAACGATGAGAGCACAGAGCACTACTCTCCCAGCTGTCTGAATTCAAAGGCATTGATGGTATAGTTAGCTGCATTCTCCGGAATAAAGGCATTCACGAATTTACAAATACAACTTGCAAAGCAACCAATGAAAAGAAAGATTGGTTGTTAAGAGCGATTTTAGGAATGAAAGAGAATTATATTGAAGGATTAAACGCTAAATAAGGAAATAATGATCATCAGTAATTTTCAATTTGGTACAATAAAAAAATGTTTTACAACGCAAAAAGTGTGCACTACTGACACAAGTTCTTCTTTCTCAAACCCATTTTGCTCAAGTTTCGTGCGGCAGTTGCGGCGCACAGCAAGCCTTTACACCACCACTGAGCGTGCGCAAGGTTTGATGAAGTTAGAGACAGCTCCAAAGGGAAAACAGGTAAAGGTAAGTAAGCACAGTTTGGCGACAGACTACTTGTTAGTCCTAACGCGTCGTGGTGCTCCAGGAATTTCTTAAACTCTTTGATATTGAAAAGAATCATGAAACTTTGGTAAACTTGAAGAAACTGACATAATTTTACGTCCGTCAGCATCTCTTACCCGCGGTACTGGCGGCACTTGCCGAGCACACCAATAAAAAAATCAAACACCTCCTGATGTCATAGTGATGGGGCGTTTTATTGCAATGTCAAAACGAAAAAAACTGAACGGGAAATTGCTATTGCCAAAATACCCTTTCCGGCATGCCATTTAGTATCTAGAAATGTACAATAGTTATTGTGAAATCGAAAACATTCAAATACAACTGCGCTTTGTAGTGCTGCGACGTAAGGGGAAAGATGGCTTTCCGATCAAGCAGGCAGTCTAAAAATTGAATATGACGAGCATTTTTTTCGTGCTGTTGCGCGGGTGCTGGAGCGAGCTTCCAGAGCATTCATCTAACACCATGAAACTCTATTGTAATCAATTGGAAACAAAGTCTACACTCAAAGGAGCGAACCTGTGTGAGATAGTTTTTGCGGAAGAGCCGTTTGCCCCCGCAAAAAGGACGACACAGAGACTTTCTGATATAACTTTTAGTTATGTGGTTCAAACAGATTTGAAAAGTGAGGAAAGAAAAAAAGAACGTAATCAAATAAAAAAATATGTACAAAGAAGAATAGTCACTCGTGACGGTATTACGAGACTCGTAGATAAACTAAATTACAGTCCGGATTCGCGTACAAGTGAGGTAGGGCAGAGAAAGGCACTTCACCAGTTTTTGTATGGTGTGGTGAGCGATGGCAGGAATGTGCAGTCGGTGGTTGTAGAGCACGCAGCTTTCTTCTTCCTCGTGGCCGCCATCTTATGCTCTGAGGTGCCAAGGGTTCATCGACTACGAACCGCCCTCGCGCCTCGGGATTGCGCAGAGTCTCCCCAGGTTGGGTAACGGCTCGAAGAAGGTCTGGCCTTGCCTCCACCTTGACCTTCCGCTCATCGCCCTCACTTTGTTTTTCTCGTGCCGCCCCTACTTCATGTTCTATTTTTTTTTTTCTTTTGACAATGTTCTCCTCTTGATTTCGCTAGTCTGCTATATACAGTTCATCACACCCTGCCTTCCCCTGACGTCAGTTTTTTTTTCTTTGCCAGTGGAGACTTCTATTTTAAAAATCACGGTGAGGAACGAAATTGTAAATTTAATAACTTCGGCTTAATATATGAGTTACTATTTCAACCATGCTTGTCAGTGTATTAAGCAAGTTTTCAGGCTGATCTGAGACAATAAACAAAATAAAAAAGGAGTACACCCGTGACGATATGAGAGTGAACACCCCTCTTCTTGTTTTTGACGCTCCTGCAGGTTTTGGAACAAGCTCTGTTCCAGAGGAGGGCTAGAACACAAAGTTTACACCCCAAGCCACGTACCATTTGAGGCGTTGAGAGTTAATATAGCTTTGGGGAGCCGTAAGACAGGCAAGAAACCAGGTAAGGTGTTCACCTTCATATTACGGGCAGGTGTACCTTTTTCACTCTTTATCAACAACGCGATCTGAGGGACGATATATGAGTTACGTTTCGCCTGCTCAGTCTTATAAAGGAAATGGTATATTTGTGTCGGAATGTTTAGTAAAATTCATTATCGGCTGGTTTCTATTTCGTGTACCTGAATGATTGAACGCGCAGTTTGTCTGAACATAATCCGACGGGAATTTATTTCACATCTTTCCAGGTTTTTTTAAGAGAAACACAAGGGTTTCAATCCACTGTTCCCTTTAAGAAGTAATGTGTTATGGTGAGAAGCAACGAGTATAATTTGGGCCAAGGAGCGCCCTTTTATTCAGGCAGCTTGTCATGCAAGCACGATGATGAAGATTTCCGGCCCTCCCAACAAATGGAACGACGGAGGAGAGCTCAGCGCTTCAGGCATGTCAGAAAAAAGACCTGATCCCGCCAGTTTAGTAGTCTTTCACTAGGTGCCGTCCGTTTCTCTAGACGCAGATAGGAGTGTCATGTAAAGCTGTGAAAAAAATAAAACATCTTGTCTATGACACAATTATTTGTTCAGAACAACACACAGCCACTGATCAGAAAGAGGGTATGTGGATTAACTGAAATTGGCAATTTGGTGGCACGATTGGGAAATGTAAATAAACAAAACAACAATGTGTACATAAATACAACGCGGCAGAGGCTACCAGCACAGTTTACTTATAGTGTTGGGGTCATGCCTTTGGAATGTTTCTTGGGTTACAATTACGTAGGTGTTCTTTTTAAAAGGGGCCGTAACAGGCATGCACAAACAAAATGTTTCAAATAAAGAGCTCAAAATAAAATTTTGACACTTAAAATAAAGTTAGCATGTGGCCGGTCTAGGGCTCTCATTAATAAGTAAAGTCACTCAAATCACAGATGATTTAATAGGCACACCATTTTTGGGAACCATTTACGCAACAGAACGTTTGCAAAATATAATCCATGCAAAGTAAATCTGTGCTTTTTATTTTCGATCGCCCTTCATCCTCAAACTTCGAGTCCCTTCTAAGTCCTATACAAATATTCTGCCTGTCAGAAACAGAAAAAGATTGACCCTGATGATGCTATTATTCAATTACTCCATGGGCATTGCTTTATAGATATTCACGAATATATTGTGTATGCAAACTGTAGTAGCTTAACAAGTACAAACTGAAACATATTCATTCTACTTCAACACTTAAATATGAACTCTTTTATGACCTGTTGTATCCACGGTTGAAACTGTTTACCGACGAGTACAGGAAATAGTGCACTTGTGTCTGCTTTCTGAGATTATTTTATACTTTATTTTATACTATTTCTTGCTACGTGAGGATACTTTTTTTAACATACCTACCTACCTGCTTCGAGGTCACGGCTAGCAGCGTGTTCAAAATAAATAGGATGGATTACGCCGCGACTCAGCCCACAAGCTCTTCGCTTACAGTCAGGGAGGCGTAATCCATAGCACGTCATGAAAGAAGAACCAAAATGTCGAATCCCAGCTCCAAATCTCCGGCTGCTTCCTTGAACATGTTTTGTTGTGTTTATTTCTTTTACTCGTGTTTTTTTTTGTGTGTGTGTTTGGCGTTCCATATGAAAATGGTGCCAATGTATCACTTTTTGCTCTGTATATATAATATATACCCCTAAAGTGGAAATTTTGGACTATTGCTATCTTTAACAGGATGAGAAGAATCTGAAAAAGGGCTTTCTCAAAATCTTGTTTTAGTTATTTATACAATATTTTGGAGCAAGAGTTTTTACCAGAGTGCAGGAAAAATATGTTTTGGGGCGGAAAACAATAAAGATAGAATAACTTTATATTTGTTTTTCTTCATAAGTGCGAGCAACGTCACCGCTACAAACTCGAGCATGTCTTGGATTACGCTTTATTTTTCTCTCAAAGCGACGAGTTCGCTGTCGTATCCTCTGCTTTGCTTGCACCTATGGTGAAATTCCGCGCGGAAGTTGCCTCAAGGCGTAACATTTGATGAGGAAGCCGGTCAGTCAGTGGACGGCGGCGTGCAATGCGGGTGCCTATGCAGGGCGACGGTGGAGGTGAACTTCCCCGCCATCAGGTCCCAGGAGGCCACATCGGCGGTGTTGAAGGACAGGCTGCCGCGTTTGCCGAAGATGGTCGCTATCACGCGGCTGTCCGATGTCACGGTCGAGGAACTGCCCCGTTCGTCGCCAGCGCTGCTACGCCGCAGACGAATCTGCGAGAGGGGGGGACGGGCACCGATGAGTCGGGGATCCCAATAAAAAGAAGAAAAAAAAAACGCTTGGACGCGAAGCACACAAATCTAGAAGAAACACATCTCCGTTACCCCCAGAAAACGCCTTAACGCCTCCCCGGATGGAGAATTCTGAGTAGTCCCTGACACTAAGTAAGATGTCTGATTGCTAAAGATCGCGTTCCTGCGTGTACGTGACGATTTTTAATATGCCAACAAATCGCCCTTTTTGCCGCCAATCACTTTTTACTTCTTTCACTTTATTTCACACTCATTTTCTTTATTTTACAGCTTGTTCTGGTGGTTTTGATAACAAATAATACAACCCGATGGTATTTACTACACTCACTGACACCACGAGAAAGGCAAGACGTCTTTTTCAGATGCCCGGACCCCGTCACGCGCTCTTCACCTTAGGACTTGTTTTGGCTGCGTGTAAACACTTAACACCCACGTGATGTCGAAGCGCTAATTAAGGTAGAAATCTCGCGCTCCAGGCGGGGCAGCCGAAGGACTTCCCCGTTGTAATTTTGTCCGTCACTCTAGCTATCCCATCGTGGATTCGTGCAATGCATTAAAGCAGACACATTCTTTGAAAAAAAAAATGCAGACATATACTGAAAATCTGCTGGAAAATGATACAGTATCTAGCTTTCGTTTTAGAAGGTTATAAAAATGCCTTCAATTTGTGTTATAAAAATACAACGTGATTGCAAAGTACAAATATTGCGAATATAGTAACTAAACAGATCCGAGTTTGTACATTTCAGTAGGTACATTTCGAGATACCTGATGGTTGTCTCAGCGAACAGCTAGGATCGCTCAAACTTCGCCAATATGTTTGGTATTGGTTCGCAGATATATATGCCAAACTAAGATCTCAAGCTTCTGCGGCCAGAAAGCCGCGGATCGAAGGTATTTAGAGTTAACCAAATTGATAATCGCTGTAAAAAGGAAAGTTCGAAAATGAATATCGCAATTGGCAGTGGAAGAGAGGGTTTCGTGCTAAAATAATTAAACAATAGTTTTCAATGTTAGTAGATTGAATCTGAATTCAGCTGCCGTAATTGAAGTAAAGATAGAATCCTGTGGATCTGCCAGAATGACCGAAGTCGCTTTGGCATGTCTGCTGTAGTGGTGGTGTCTGCTGCGGCTAGGCTCCGGTTCATTTCCTTGATCCACATGGCCACAAAGTATCACTTCCCACCGGTAACTTCGTACCGTTAAGGTATATAATTACGCGGCAATTTGATAATTTTAGACGTTATAACGTTATGCATTTTTGCCCGGTAAGGGTTTTGATTAAATGATTATCAGAAAGCTTGCGGTCGCATTTTTGATAATCTCTAGTGTCAGGACTCAGCCTAGTTACTGAGAGGCAATATTTCGAATGCAAAAGGCAATATAAGATAAGAAATCGATATATCGAAATACAGATACTCAAGAGATACGCCTTTTTTCCCGAATGAAGTTATGTTCTTCAAGGGCATTTAATATTGCAGAATAAAATATACATTAGACTATGTAGAGCAGGTCTATCACATGGCGAAAATACTAACTACATTTAAATGTCAAGCAATGCATACTGATGTTTTTATTTTGCAATAAAAACACAGGAGAGATTCTCTAAACAACATTAGTTATTTATTTGTTGTTGAAACGCCGAATATTTTCCTCTTCCATTCATCTAACATATTGGATAATTCTTTATTATTAACTACAAATTTTGAGCTAAAAAATGAAAAGCGGAATAGCAAAGCTAAATAGCCGACTCCCCTAGATGGCAAGCAATAACGCCAGCACGCCATTCTCAGTGCTTACATTTCTTTTAGCATATACATTTACCTCTTGCTTAAAAATGCTCAAAATCACATTTATTTCAAAGGTGCTAATGCCATACATCTGTATCACAATAACCCCTAGCCCTTCCTAGTAGTACGGGCACGCGAGAGTTAGAATTAAGCTGTTTTAGTGAGAGAGGAGAGACTGCTGTGTTCAAAAGCACTCGTACTTTTTGGGCGACGCTTCTTGATGGTATATATTAGACGAGTAACTTTGTATTGTATACCTGACTTTAAGTACATTCCAGATACATTTCAACAAATACCGTTCATAGCATGCCGCGGTCTACCTGCGACGTGCTCAAAATCCGTGAGAGCCAAAGGTGCCATGGTCCTTGAAGCCTGTGGTCATGTTTAGAGTGCCACAATGTTGCTGGGCTGCAACGAGGTGCATCCAGCAAGCACCATTGAGACCCTCTATTCTCGTTGATGGCGTGGAGCCATCTACGAGAGCTAATATCAAACGGCCGATTCCCAACTACTTTGTAGGCAACGTTTTCAAGACTTTATCAGACTTTGTATCCAGATGCAGCTGAAATATAAAGCTTCATTGTGCCCTGAAGCCTTGGTATGTGAACTTTACTTCCGAGATGGAGATAATGCAGTGAACTCTATAGTAACATAGCTTATGAGCGAAATCTAATGTTAGCAGTGTTTAACAACCCCTAGATGTTGTCAAACTTTGCGAGAAGACTTGCTTCAAATAAATCAGTAAAATGTCCCTTGACGTGATTTCCTGCAACTTCAGAATCCTCTCATTTTTTCATGTTCACAACCAAGAGATCAGTGTAGTTGTGCAAATGCACAGAAATAATAAATTGGACGCACAACATTTCGGCAAACTGAAACAAGGTAGAATTCACTTGTGTACCTGAATAAAATTTGGGGCCATTTTGAAATTCGAAATGACTCCATACGTGTGAAACTTTCATCTTCGTATTGGATGAAGGAATCCTACGGAGAAGCATAAAACATTTTGGTACCAATACCGGCATGCAGCGGTTGAAGAACTGCGTTGATTCGAGCTTCTGGAACATCAGCCTCCTGACGCTGCGGTTCAAGGCGCAGTGGAACACGAAGAAGGCGCAGCCCTGTGGGCAAGAATAGAACAGAACAAAAGATAAACATGCAAGACTTTCTCTTCAGCAGAAAAGTTTGGTGCTCCACGGACACCAATTGGTCGCACATAATTCGTGTCTTTTTCTGCTCAGTCCGGATCATGAAGCAATATATCCCCGGAGGCTACGGAATGAGAAGCCACCTGAACAAAGATGTCTGTCGTAATCGCCGCTAATTATGGCTGTCACATACGTTTGCTTGGGGTAGTGGCACGATTAGGGCTTGACCTGAAAGGTGGCGCACCTATATTTCTACTTTACTTTTTTTCGGTTACTTCCCCTCGCATTTGCGGTTTCCATCTGCGTATGTGCATATAAACTTTATTGTTGCTGTTCACACAAGCTTTCTTTGTACCAAAATGGTTCAAATTCTAATAAAATGTTAAAAAAGATGCGGGGCAAAAGCGTTTTTTTTTGGCCAATTTGCGATTTTTTATTTTGTTTATTGTATTATTGAGTATATCCGAGAGGCTATCACTCAAGACAGCGGCGCTTAATTTCTACGTTTTTCCGACTAATTTTGCGACAGACAACGCTAAAAATGGAAACTTACGCGTTTAGAAATATTGAAGCAAGCACAAGTTTTAACAAAGGCGGTGCGAGAGTAGGTGGACAACACCAGCAGAAGTACGTTTACCGCGGCGTGCTGAGCCGAATCACAGCAATTGCGATTGTCCCTGCGCAGTCGGCTTTCCGTTATGTTGACTTAGATACTTTAAACACGTGCAAGATTACGGCCATCATTGCTGTCCTTCACCTTTCTTTGCGGAGATGCCGAGCCGCTCTTTACGAGCGATCAAAAAGGACATTACTCCGGAGGGCACATTATAATCTAATATGGCAATGAACTGTCCTGCTGTGATAACCATGAAGTGAGGTACGCAGAATAAAAGGAAATGAAAACTTAAGGAAGGCTTGCTGGACCAGCGGGTAGTCTAAATATAGACTATGCCGGGCATTTGTTTCATGCTGCTGCGCGGTTGATGGAGCGAGCTTCCAACACGTTAATTTGACGCACTGGAAAGGCCTCTAATCAGTTGGAAAGAAAGGCTACAATTCTAAGAGTGAACTCCTGCCTACCCCTGATGTCACTTTTTTATTACTACCAGTAGAAACTCACTTCCAAAAATACGGTGAGGACCAAAATTGTAAGTTTGGTGAGTTGGCGAAAAAATTTCGTTTCTTCCAATATTTGTTACTATTTGAGCCATGTTTGTTGGTGTGTGTAGCAAATTATCCAGATAATTCTGGGACTCTTAAGAAGACGCCGGAGTAGCCCTTTAAACGCGTCTATAGGGGTAGGGGTGCCTGGTGCACCAAGCGCTTTGCGGTATTTTAGAGCGCAGCTCTTAGGGGCCCGTTTCCGGCTTGAGCGGCGTCGCCGTCGCCGTCGGCGTCGCCGTCGGCGTAACCGCGCGGTGCATCATGGGAAATGTTCCATAATGCACCGCGCGAGCCCCCCACTGGGGTCACGTGACCTCGTGGGGGGTCACGTGACCCCCCGAGGTCACGTGACCCCCTCCTCGATGTCACGTGACCCCCGCCGATGTCGCGTGACCCCCGATGACGTCATCGTCACTGATGACGTCACCGGCATCCACATCGTCATCATCATCACTCATGACGTCACCGGCATCCACATCGTCATCGTCATCATCACTGATGACGTCACAGGCATCCACATCGTCATCATCATCACTGATGACGTCACCGGCATCCGCATCGTCATCGTCATCATCACTAATGACGTCACCGGCATCCACATCGTCATCGTCATCATCACTGATGACGTCACCGGCATCCACATCGTCATCGTCATCATCACTGATGACGTCACCGGCATCCGCATCGTCATCGTCATCATCACTGATGACGTCACCGGCATCCACATCGCCATCGTCATCATCACTGATGACGTCACCGGCATCCACATCGTCATCATCACTGATGACGTCACCGGCATCCGCATCGTCATCGTCATCATCACTGATGACGTTACCGACATCCGCATTGTCATCGTCATCATCACTGATGACGTCATCAGTGACGTCACTGATGTCGTCACCGGCATCCGCATCGTCATCGTCATCATCACTGATGACGTCATCAGCGACGTCACTGATGACGTCACCGACATTCGCATCGTCATCGTCATCATCACTGGTGAAGTCATCAGTGACGTCACTAATGACGTCATCGGTACCCGCATCGTCATCGTCACTGATGACGTCATCAGTGACGTCAGTGATGACATCATCGGCATTGGGGGTCATGGGACCCCCAAGGTCACGTTAACCCCCCCCCTCTGGTTAGTTTAACCCCCCCCCCCCCCCAGTGCCCTTCCCTCCTCCTCCTCAAGAGCTGCGCTCTAATTCGGCGTTACAGGGAGTTGTAAGCGGCTTTAATTTTTATTTTATTTATTTAGTAATATATTTCATTTGAGTGATCCACGAACAACTTGATGCCACCTTTATGGTGCATTTATCAATGCCTCCTGCGGTCCTTGAAAGTGAATGGTGGCGGACCTCCATCTCGTAGAACGTGTCTCGTGCATTCGCAGAAAAAAATGTTTGTCAACACTAGTTACAAACGCTAAGCGTGTATTTTATAAAGGGGCTTCACAACTCATGGTGACGTCGTGCACATGTTTTGTCTTTCAGGCGGTATTGGCTGACGAGGCTCTTCATAGAGGAAGTACGGATGAGGCACGGGTGCGGAATAAAGTGTGGAAACAAAAATAGCTTGAGAATTCTCCGGATTCAGGCAAGGAGGCGGCGCAGAAACGACAGCTGCTCCACAATACTAGCGAATCACGCACACGCCGAGCTGCTTTGGATGTGACACATGTTACACGTTAGCGTAAATGCACTCGGACAATTTTATTACGATGATTACGGTGATGTTTGTGGAGGAATAAAAAGACGAAGAACCGACATCTACAGTATTGACGTGCTTTCCTCAGTATGTTGATCATCAAACGAGCTGGAGATGATGGTAGATGTTAGTTTAAAACCCCGAGACAAGAGGGAACGAAAGGGACAACACGACTCAGAATTGTTGTGTTTGAAACTTCTGAGTTGTGTCGTCCATTTTGGTCCCCATTGTCTCCGGACTTTAGTCAATCGTTAACTTCCGTACACTCCCTGCTGTCTGGCGCGTCTACTTTCCCTCAAATCTCTTGGAAAGCCAATCACTGCAATTAGCAGAGAGAGTTTGGCGAATGACGAGGCTGAAACTACAAACCTATGCATAGTAAGAGCCCTTGCTATAACCGTAAGCATGACGTAAGCACGTGAAACGCCAGGCTCAGTGCCCCAGCACGTACGGATTTTCTAGCATCAAAATATTTCCTCCTCTGTCATTGGCAGAGCTCCCTCCCTCCGTGGGTTTCTGCGGTTGACTCTCTCAAGTGCTTTGCAGGAAAACAGAATCGCTGGATGCTCCGTGGACACCAGTCGCTGGAGTCCTGTTAGCATCTATTTTCTTCTGTATCTCTCTTTATGCCTTTTACTTCAATGGGCCACTGAATTTCTTAGAGTGTGAGATACATACCTGAAGCGTGTTGAGAACGCAGAAGACGTAAGTCATGACTACAGAGAACCTGCTGTTGTCCAGGAGAAGGAAGCCAGGAATCCAGGTGAGTCCCAGCAGAGGCAGCATAATAACGGTCGTCCGAATCCAGCGTCTACGGGAGCCAAAACATATAAAAACGATAGCAGATTATTCGCGTCGGCACTCCAGTGCGATGTCGCTATAAATACTGCTTTCCTTGTGAACCTTAGAACTTGTCGCCGCGAGATATTTCTGTAAAAAATCCGTTGCCGCGACACCTACGTAACCTAGTGTTTGCACGGTGGGGTCGTTTCCTTCTAATTCTGCTTCTATATCTCCGCGGAAGAAGGAATTATACTGACTTCTCGGTGAAGGGGGCGATTCAATCGGAAAGCTTTGTTGATGAACGTGGTCATATAATGTTTCACGGTGGTGCAAGGCTTCTTTTTCTAAAAGATCAAATAAATATGAATATAAATAAATGATTCACGTTCTGGACGTAGCTCTGAAAAACGTGAATAAATGACCAACGCGTTGTCAAGACCAACGCATGTGGCGGCGTGGAATAAACGTGGCCGAGGGTTTTGCAAGCGAGTAATAAAATAAACTATAAAAACATATTGAGTTTCAATTTTACTATAAGATACACGTTTAGAATGCGCCACAAGCTACTCCATCACTCCTATTACAGCCTGCCAGTGTTCCGCCACGCAATAATATTTTTGTGCCGAGACGCACGTCGCGCTGACGTCTATGGGAATCGGTGCGTACTGCTCACCCACAACATGGACAAGACCGACTGGAGACAGGAAAAAGTACACTTTGATCTGAACAGTCCCAGTCATAGAGTGCTTTCTCTTGGCGTTCCCTGGGCCACGCCAAGGTCTTTGTACTCCACACCCCGTACGTCACATAACTCTCCGTGGCTACTGCATTTCCTGGTTGTTCGCAGAGCCATTTGATGCCAGGGATGGGCAGTGGTCCTGTTTGTTTAGCGCGTTCTTGACTTGTATCTGGCTGTACCTGCATATCGCTTAGCGGATGCTGCATTGTAATCAATATAAAATGTTACGAGATTAACAACCTATATCAGCCGTTAAAAGTACGGCAAGAAATTTAGCTTCACTGACTTGTGATGGAAAGGTTTCAACTACTGTACATGCACTAAAGCTCTCAGTAGGTGATAAAATATAACGGCGGAATCAATAATACGAAGTCATATAACGGTTGATTAGATAATGTAATGGCAATACACATATTCTGCTGGACACTTTAGCAGCATGGACTTATTTAGGCGTGCGCTGCTAACGATGTGTCCTACTGCGAACACACACCATGTACTTTCGTGGACGCCGTTTTGTTTGTGTGCTGGTTTGCCGAGAGCCGTTTTGGCAGGTCCTCTTCCGTCGCTCTTTTCTTTTGATGCCATGCTGTTTTGTCGCGTGCTGTCTTGACGCGGTGCTGTTTCGTCGCTGTGCTGTTTTGACGCGGTGCTGTTCTGACGCGTTCTGTATGACCGTGCTGTTCTGTCGCGTGCTGTTCTGTCGCGTTCCCAACCATTCTGGGCCCTATTCTTCCCTGCTGAAACCCGAGGGTCTCGCGTTTAGATGGCACATGGCACGGAACGACCTGTTTTAGACCGCCATATTCTCTTGATAGATGTGACCCCATGGGTCGCTGGAGTCGCGAATACTCCTTCTCACTTAGACTACGAGCGTAACAAAGTTCACGAAATTGAGCCAAATTGAGTACCGAACCTTCTACCTCTATTACATTCCCGCGTGCTCGTGTCGTACAAACATCGTTCAAGGCAAACAAAGAGAACAACAGGACCGTTGTACGCAACGTTCTTATATTCCGTTCACCCCTAAGCTGAGACTGCACTCGAAGCTAAAAGTGCAAGCAAGTCCGCACTTTTGGCTTTAAAACGTGTCTTCCTAGCGCTAGCGCGCTTTCCGCAAAAGGACTTTTCAAAGCTGCAGTTTGGTGCTCTCGCGGTTGTAGCATTGGATGCAGTCTCAGCTTAAGGATGAACGAAATATATTAAAGTTTGTTCTGACAGTGTCCGAGCGAGCTGAGGTGAAGTAGCTTGGTGCACCCGGGGAAGCAGCGCGTTTAAAAATTCCATCCCTAGCAAAGAAAGTATATAATTCAAATAAATTTTAAATGGCTATAATACACGTAATATTTCTTGTCAGCATTCGAAACGCATGTCAATATACTAAAAGATATTCCGAATGGATTACACACATATGTATATATATATATGTGTGTGTGTGTGTGTGTGTGTGTGTGTGTGTGTGTGTGTGTGTGTGTGTGTGTGTCAAGATATATTATAAGTGCATTAAAATGTCTTTTAAAAGTATATTTCAATTTAGGTTTACAAGTTTAGTTCAAATGCATTTATAATTTACTAATATAACTAAACATTTCAGTTTTTCTTATTTTATATTCTTATGTATTTCGCGCACGTTCTACACATATTTAATTTTGTATTTACAAAGCTTGCTTTGCAATATATCTCAAATGTAGTTAGTAACATCATATTTATGAATCTTGAATGTATTTGAGGAGTGCTTGGATTATACATTTAACACACATATTGTCAACGAGTTTTCTTAGATATACTCTTAATAGTAGGGGAAAATTGTTGACTGTATTTTAGTAGGCGTTTACTTTTTATATGTATGCATGTTGATATATACAGGCTGTTTCACGAAAGGTGGACAAATTCGATATTGCGAAAACTACGCATCACACCAAAAGAAGGCGTGTGTCGTTTTGGTCCTAGGCCAAGGACCTATGTAGGAAAATTAATAAAGTTCGGAATAATTAGGTTGTTAATTATTTTTGCGTAATTAACTTTTTGATTATTGCGTTTAAGGGCATGGTTTCAATTAGAAACTTGCTGGGTATAATCGAAAAAACACTAAATAAAAAAATTGCAGGACGATAGATGGTACGCGCGGCATTTTACTGCTTTTAGAAAAACTGCACAACTTCGACGGGTTTTTAAGTTTCGTTGGCAATCGGAGCGCTTCTCGACACCGACAGCACCGCACCCCGTGGAGGGATAGTGCAACCAGCCTCTGCTGCGCTGTCTTCGCGCAACGCAACAGAGGCTAGTTTCCCTATTTCTCCACGGGGCGCGGTGCCGTCGGGGACGAGATGCGCTCTGATTGCAAACCGAAACTTAAAAACCCGTCGATATTGCGCGATTTTTGAGAAAGCCGTAAAATGCCTGGCGCGCCTTCTACCGTTCTGCAATTTATTGATTGAGTGTTTTTCGATGATGGTCAGCAAGTTTCTAATTGAAACCATGCGTGCCCTTAAACACACTAATAAAAAAAGTTAATTAAGCAAACATAATTAAAAACTTAATTATTCCGAACTTTAATCATTTTCAACCAATCAATCAATCATTTTAGTCCGTTAGATTTGAGGGAGTTAAATCAAAGCTATGCGGAGGGCAAGTTCGTCTGCTTCTTGCGTAGGGGGTAGCGGTGACGTCAGAACGTCGAGCCCTGATTGGCTGATCGCGACCCCCTATCTGAGCGTCGTACTAGAAATAGAAATAGAACCCACACCCTATCTGAGCGTCGTACTAGAAATAGAAATAGAACCCTACTAGAAAGCAATAATGCAGTGTTTGATAAAACAAAGTATAATATAGTTGTACTTTTAGCCAGATAGACAAGATACCCCTTGTTTTATAAATTGCTCCTATAGCTCTAGATAACTATTTCTTGTTATTCATGGTTAGTGTAGTCCAAGATAATTGGTCATTAAACCATACACCTAAAAACTTGCAGTCAGATATTTGTTCTATAGAGCAGACATTTATTTTCAAGCATGGTGGTCTGGCAATTTGTTTCCCCTGCATAGCATATATTTGGTCTTTTTAGTGTTTGGTCGCATTTTATTTGCCTCCAGGCAACTATTTAAAGTTCGTAAATAATTATTCGCACCGCGTTCAATGACGCAGGCCTTTACGTCTAGGTGCTGTCGGATCGAACCTTGTTGACATGGCTTCGATATGGACACTCAATGTGCCAGCGTGATGGCTTGTAATCACTACAGCCTAATACACGCTAAAGACCCCAGTCTAGCGGTTGTACTTTACCCATGCCAAAACCACCTCAACCACACTTAACCCGTCTATCGCCAAAATGCATTGTTGCATTGTCATTTCGCTGTTTAGAAGTCATTTATATCGTCAAATTTGCTTTTCTCTTTGGCGAGTTTGTACGTCAGCGTCCCTCAAACAATTATTTATCGCGGCCCAATTTTCATTTTCAATTCGAGGGTAATATTTTGTTTTCAACGTTTTTGCAACATCTCCGTCTGACTTAACTAAACCCATTCAAACCCCATTCGTTGGCGGGTGGTTTGCCTTAATAATAATAATACTTTATTTTCACTGCCCCCCAAACAACCACAGCGGTCTTTTCTCTGGTGCACTTCATGATCATTAAAAAAAAAAAAACAGTTGTTACCAGAACACAACAAACGTTATACTAAATTAAAAGGTTATTTAATTAACCGCTGTTCAACGAAATAAATGTACAGAATTTAAGGACTGGAAGAGTTATTTTATTTATTCATTTATTTATTTGAAATACTATCGGTCCTGCACAGGACAAAGATAGGCGTGGATTTGCACAACACACAAACACACGCTCAAAATGCCCAAATCAATAACACGTATACAACACAACGATGAAATGACAACTCTAGGTACTGCTGGCAGAAATGTCTGCAACACGAAAACTAAACTCTTGTTGAGTTCCAGCGGTCACGACATTTGCTGGGAGCTCGTTCAAACTCGCGTTGTTGAAAAAAAAAAAAAAAAAAAAGCTTTAGACAGTTTTTGGAAAACTTCCGCTCTTCCACATACCGAGCATGTATGCGTGTTGCGGGTTACGGGCGACGTGCTCTCATTGATATACTGTTGCTTATTTACAAGAACCAGGTTATTCATTATGTTATAAAAAAAGGTTAAGCCGCTTCTGCTTCCTCCGCACTTAAAGGAGGGGTAGACTCGCCCTTTTATAAAGAGGTGACACCGAGTCCATCCGTCTATATCAAGACGCAACAAAACTTAACGCATCCCGTTGTACTTGCTCTAGATTT